AAGATCTCAGACAAAATATCTCACTGCAAAATTTTAATAGTATGTACGAGGATTTTAGTTTATTCGAACATTTTTAAAATTGACTGTCAATATGGCTTTTGTTTACTTTTTTTTACGCATTATAATTGTGATTATAATGAATTTCTTAAACTTAACAAAGCACCAAAAGATGTGTTTAACGTAAACTTTGTAATAGCATTTGATTTGAAAAAGTAAAAATTAAAACAAACTTAAACCTTAAAGGTGTAATAAATGATAATGTATAAAACAAATACAGTAACGGTAGCTATAGTGAAATATTTTTAAAAAAATGTGAACAGGTCTTTATGTTCGTAATGTAAAACTATTATTTTTTATTGCATCATCAACACAGACATAACGCTTACGTTTCTTTGCTGGCAGGTACATAATTATGATCACACCTCTCCAGTACAATGTGATCATGTATTGTGTGAACTCTTGCTCATAATGTTATAACTTCACATTTCCAAATCTCTTTGCCTGCTGCACAATTTATGGTTTTTATAAACATAAATTCACCAGAAACTAATGTCCTAAAACCTTTCTGCGAGGTAACGAAAGAAGCCATAATTGAGTAATCACCACTAATACTGCTTTGTTTTCATCCAAACTACGACAAACTTAGCTCCACGATGACAGCTGTTGTTTAACTAAGCATTTTTCACCTGATCACTAAGGTGTGACCGACGCATAACTATTGAATTTAGGTACTAGTTGTACCTTGATACGAAGGTGTGTCTTTATTGTTATTTCATTCCCTTTGATCTTGTTTAGTCCACCTGACATGGTAAGATTGTATCATGTTTGGCAAGCTCACCTACGCTGTCTAACGAAATGTTTCTTTAATCTTCACATACTCTATTAGTAATCTTAATTTTAAAATGTTTGGTGCAATATGACAAATTTATGTGGCAAACAGTCCTTAAAATTATTATATAGGCCTATAAATAATATTAAATATAGTCAATACAAAATGTTCAGATTAACTAAAATCATCCAATACACTATTAAAATTTTGCTGTGAGATATTTTGTCTGAGATATTTTGTCTGAGATCATTTGTCCGTGGTATCATTTGTCCTGATATATTTTGTCCTGGTATCTTTTGTCCGTGAGATCATTTGTCCTGTCATCTTTTGTCCGTGAGATCATTTGTCCTGTCACCATATATATATGCTGTTTTGTTTTGTGCATTATTAACATTGTTGCGCATTTGTTTATATTACTGCCACATCATTATTTCTTTGTTAACATCCATTATTTAACAGAAATCCGAGACGATGTCGAGAATTTAAAGTCAAGTATTGAGTCCATCAGTAAGTGGTAGCTGCATATATCATGTATGATGGTGCTGCTGTGTCGGTCAAACATTTCTCCAAATTAAAACAATATATTCCACATTCAAAGCCTATTATTATAGAGAGCATTAAAAGATCTTATCGTTACAATCAAGGGACGGCGTTGTCGAATAGTAGAGCCTACGATGGCTAGCCCGAAATTCTTGAGTTCAGATCCCGGGCATGAGTCGGTAGGATGTCCCTCTGTCCACCTAGCGTTAGAGAAAGTAAAGGGCATCGTTCTGACCACACAATCCCTGTGTATGCAGAGGTACTTGAAACAGGCGAACCCTACTTGTGAAGTTGGACGAGTGACGACGATGATAGCGATCGTAATAATGAAATGTTTTTGAAAAAAATCATTTTATCTATCTAAAGTACAAATATTTCACTATTTCACACTAATGTAAGATTATAACTTTTTTTTTGAGTTTATGAAAAATAGTATGTTCTTATGAAACAAAATAAAAACTGTTTGTACTTTTCATTTATTAAATCTAATAATGACAGTTAACAAACTATTGTTAAGTGATTATTAATACAACATATAATTTTATCTTCCTAAACATTTTTCTATGTACGTATTTAGCAATAAAAACGATTTTATTAAATTATAACCACTTTTAAAAGTATTTGACTGGTATGTATTACAGAGCAAGAACTACAATCTAATCGAATTCTAAATGATGATGATTTACATGATGAACCAGAAAATGAATACGATTCTAAACCAGAAGAGACTGTTGCGTTTTTAAATTCTTCTAGAAATTAAGTTCTTGGCAACCGGAGAAAATATATGCCGAAGGGTAAAGAAAAAACACAGTTCAAAGGTGTTGGTGGGACGGAGTATAAGTCATAAAGGCATATTGAGAGAAAGTGAGAGAGAGAGAGAGAGAGAGAGAGAGAGAGAGAGAGAGAGAGAGAGAGAGAGAGAGAGAGAGAGAGGGAGGTGGGGACGTATCTGTTGGCGGCGATATAGACTTATCTTTTTTAAAATATCTTTTTACTAACATTTTTTTAAAAACTAAGTTTAATTAATTATTAAAATGTGCCCTTAATATATTGTTGAAAATAATGATGGTTATTTATATTTTATGCACCAAAAATACATGTACTAATCTATTTTAGTAAGCCCATGCATTCGAGTAGATGAAAATTTTCTAATTAAAAAAGTATTTTGTTATTTGTTTTTCCAAATACAGTATTAAATAGTTTTTAATAAATTGTTCTTCCTCAACAACATGTAGTCTATTGATTTGTAACATTAAAGAACGTTATCTCAAAAGTATGTTTATAATATACCATGTATACTTTTTTGTGCGAGTCTGGAACATTGCTATTTGAATAGGGAGTAAGTTTTGTAAATATTGAGATATGTGATCGCTTGTTTTGTTGTGGTTAAAACACGTTGTAGTAGTTGTGACGTGGTCGAGTCGTGGTTGTATGGTGGTTGTATGGTGTATGCGGTGGCGTAAGCAGGGGCGTGTAAGGACAGTTTAAAACTGGACACCAAAATGGCATTCAAATGTCTCTCGCAGGTTACATAAAGCTTTTAGAGAATGTTTCGCTGTCAGGGCTTTTAGTTTTAGTTTGAATGTAAAAATCCCACATTTATTATGTGGTGGTTGTGTCGTGGACTAGAACACCTGTCTCAGCCACGACCACTTATTTTGGGTGCCCATTTAACATAGTTTAATTATTGTAGTTTAAATCGAATACTTTAGTTTCATAGACAGAATGTTAACGCTAAATTGTAACAATGTATACCATCAATCATTAAATGACTTAATACATACTGAGTTGCTTTATTTTATTTTTTAATTGTAACAGTTATTAGTGCAAATTTATTTTATGTGTTTGTGCAGCAACAAAGTACACGAGATAACAAACTAAGTTTGTAGTTTTGTGAATGTTTAGTGCAATTATTATACAAACACTTACACATATAAATGATTCCATGTAGGTAATTAATGCCCTTTGAAATAAAATAGCAATTAAGCAATTAAATGCCATCTAGGAGAGATGGATGGACAAAGGCTATGGAAGCAAATCCAGAAAGAAGAGCAGTCTGAAATCGGTGTCAGCGTATATGACACCATAACATGTTAACACTTAACACGTAGTTGTGTTGGAGGAAATCAGTTCCAACATTACAATTTGGAACGAAGAAGGAAGGAAAAAAACATGTTAGCTTACCATTCTGCTAACAATTCAATGACTATGAAGCAAGACTTCGCATCCATGTCCCAAATCCATCTTAAATATGATAAAAGAAATTAAGCGGTTTACAGTAATGTACACCCAAGGTTTAGAAATTCATTAGCAGGAAGAGTTAGCAGAAAAACTTCCGTAAATTGTCATGTCAAATATCATTATGTTGCGTTTATTGTGTTTATTACGGTGATAGTTTATTGTGTTTTAGTTTTGTAATACGTTTTTATCTAAATATGAAGAAGCTATTTAATATCACTACGGCTATAAATAACAAAACAACGCATTCATGGCAAATTATAATCACAATTTTAATAATTCGGAAGAAAACGAAACGAAAAAGCTAGAGGAGTGTTGTTTCATATGACGCATGTTACTTAAACAAAATAGCTCCACCCCCCCCCCCAGTGTTGTAACACTTACAAAGAATACCGGACTTACAATATACTCAGATCCGTGGTATTAAGAGAGAAGTAGGAGTGACCACTCACCATATGAACGTTTTAGCAAAGCTGCACCTCTTTCATGAATGTAATGAGTTGCAATGAACTGCAACCAGCTATATTTATCTATAGTTAGAAATAAACGTGAAAAGTTGTGCACATTCACTCCCCGCCCCTTTGCCCATAAAACCCAATCTAGGCCTTTAATAAAACTACATCTATAAATTGTATTTCGCACAAAGGAATTTAAAATGCAACGATACGTAGACAAGGAGTCATTCTTAAAGTAGTTCAAATCCCAGCTTTACTGAGTTTGGAATGAAAATACAACCTGGGTTAAAAGAAATGCAAAGCATGTTTCTTGTGATAATATTCATGTTTGGTCACATTGACGTCAAAAGGCGGACACGGGGTATGCGGGGTATGCGGGGGGGGGGGGGGGGGGGGTCCGCATCGAGTGACATCATTTATGGGGTGACACCACAACGAAAAATAATACAATTTACTATCAAAACTATGTATTATCTCGTTAAAATACAAATAAAATAGTAGGGGGAGATGGGTGACACCGAATCGAAAATACACAAATATTTGAGGGGTGGGCTGGGAGGGGGGTGACACCCTTAGTTACCGCACCAGGTGATACCCGACCTAGTTACGCTATCGCTCGGTCAGAACAGGGTTTACCCATAAACGAATGTATTGCAACCTTTAAATAGACAGTTATAAATACACTTCTGCTATTACGTACTGTTACTAGTTCGAAAATTTTGACACATTCATTCGAAATGCAAAATTTGTCCACTTCAGAGGCAATACACTTTGAAAAAATACAACTAGTAGACACTAACTTTTTGTGATAGTGTAAATACAAAATGAATTTAAGAAAAAACAGAGAAGAAAAAATATACTTTGATAAATCACGGTACTACCAAAACTGGTTTTCCCGATCTTAGGTGTCTCAGTCTAATTTTGTACCTATCAGAGGAGACGCCATTTTGTAAACAAGGAAAACAAACAGGCCTGAAAGAAAATTTCTATTCAAGATAAGCTGGTTAGCTTTCCTTCAGTAGGAGTGGTACATCGACAATAGTCTACTTTACTACAGGAAAACAACTTTGTATATTTTGTAAATCTTTTAAATACAGGTGTAAGATTCTCGTCTAAATATGTTCCTTACTTTAATGCAGGTATTTATATAAAATTATGTGGTTAATGCTTATAAAAATATATAGATATTTTAAGGTTTTTTGGAAATGCTTTGCTTTTTCTTATAATATTTCTGATATTTTAACATTTTTATATTAAACTGCTCTTAGAACAATATAATTAAACACAATTGTTGTAATTTATTAACTTTAAAGAGACAAGTGCCATATTTTCAGGCAAATGAGACGACTAGGCCTATAAGAGTAAACGCAACTTTTAAGATATTGGTTTTTGAGATACTGGCCATCTCAGAATTTTGAGAAAATTTCGTAAAAAAGTTGTCTTAGACATTGGAAAATACTAAACTTTAAAAATACAATTTTAAACTATTTTCCATTTAAATTCCTGAATTCTCTAGTACGTGTGAGTAGGGTAACTAAATGTGTAATCAATACGCCTACATTTTCAATAGTTTCATCTTTTGTTTTCTTAAATAATGTCGGTCGGACAATTATTATATTTCAAAGTTATAGAGTATACTATCTCCAACCACGTTGTATCATTCTGATGTGATGGTCTTGAAGATGCCTGCAGCCTTAAGTTATATATTCCTTTCTTTGATGATCGCCTCCTACATTACACAAAGTAAGTAAAATTTAAAGTCAATCTATTTTATCGTCTACCTATACAGCAATGTATTATAACCAAAACGTGTATGTAACTGAAACAGTTAGTGTGCTTTACGACAAAAAAGTAATCAAATATGACGCGAAAAAGCATTTTTTAGCAATACTGATTTCGCTATTTTGAAAAGCTTCTCCTCAACCGGCTATAGGGCCTACATATTTTAATACTTTGAAATAGTTTTGGACCACATTTTGTTTAGAAAATACAAAAAAAAAAAAGAAAAAAAAACAACAGCGGCAACCATGGCAACTGTTCGACTGCAACTGTAGACAAATATCTGAAGTCGACACCCCCTCCCAGTGGCGTAGCGAGGTCGGGTGTCACCCGGTGCGGCACTTAATGGTGTCACCCCCCAGAGGTGTAGCGACCCTTCCCGGGGACAAACTTTCAAGTTTTCGATTTGCACCCCCCCCCTCAAACTTTCGATTTGCACCCCCCCTCAAGTTTTTCTCTATATATTTTGCTATTTTTTGCCTTGGTGTCACCCCCCTAAATGGTGTCACCCGGTGCGGTCCGCACCCCCGCCCCCCCCCTCGTTACGCCCCTGCCCCCTCCCCTCCCCAATCAGCCCACTTGTTTCCAGACATTCTTTTATAGAAGAACCTTAATTAAACATGTATATTGGAATACCGTTGATATTATCATAAACGCATTTCGTCGTCACTTTCTTCTTATACTCTAACATTATATTATCATATTTTTAACGATCTAAATGTATGTTTAAACATGATGTGGATAGGTTAACCTTACAAAAAAAAACTTTTTTGTATGGGCTTATATTTTATTTCAAGTTATTTCGTCATACTCAAAGAAATAAAATATCGGGCCTACCTAAATATTTATAAATAGATTCAATAATAAGGTCGGCTATTTAAAAATCCTACGACAGCGTATAGTTCGAAGCCGTGTTATATATATTGCTTATATCTCGGCGACATCCTTGTATGAAACAAACGGTCAAATGCCGACCGGGCGATTTTCAAATGGGCGATCCCAAAACTGTTTAATTACCAGCTTGGCGATAGGCTGTAAATTAATAAATAGATACATGCATAGGTTATTATTTTAGTTTACCGGGGGGGGGGGGGTGGAATTTTTATACCAGTGTCCGATAATGGAATCTTCTTTAAAAAGGGGTGTACGGTTATTTACTTAACTAAAATACACATATGGCTTGCTAATGTCAATGCTAACTAACCCTATCCAGGCCCTATCCCTAACCCCCAACGCTAGTCCTACCATACGCCTAACCCTAATTTCTATAATTAATTATCGTGATTACAATACTACTAACAACCCAACACACCTATTTTTTTTGGGAGAGTCCATTATCGGATATCGGTATCTAAAATCACCCAGTTTACCTAGCCAGTGGTTTTCGGGAAATGCCGGAATTAGCTCTCTCGTCAGGGCCCTATCTCCAGTCCCGAGATGTGTGGTGGTAACATATATGGTGTTACTGTGTATAAAATGGCCAAAATCTAACGGGATGGAGTGGTCGTGTGTTAGAGTATACGACTGCTACCCCAAAAATATAGAGTTCAAATCCTGGCTCAATCCCGCTAAATGGGTAACTGACTCATGTTAAGGGTAGTAAAGGCCGGTGGGGAATGTGCTGACATATTTTGAAAATTTTTATATGATTGATTCTTAAAATATTTTTTTTTTAAATTTTTATCAAGCTTATATTTTTCTTATTTTTAAATTTACTACCGCTTTGTAGTCAAGATTGACAAAAACACGATTTATATCCATGTCAACAAAAATAAATGAGGGGAGGTTTTTCGTAAACTCGTTGATTCCCATGATTATATTTCAGCCGTTGCCATAGGACCCACTGAACAAGACCTCGAGCAAGCGCGAAAAGAATGTGAAGCTAAAAATAAACTTTTTTGCCCCAAATATGGCAAATGCTGTGAGCATACAGACTTTTGCCACGAAGGCACGTGTGAAACGTGTTTTCCCATCAACATGGCAGAGGATTCCAGACTTGCGTTTTGTCAGCAGTTGTTCAACAACTCATCACCGCTACCAATGAGAAGCAACTCTTGTGACCATTTTCTAGTATGTCGTTCCCTGTTTAGCTTCAAGGAGTTATTGAACATTGATGGTAATTATAATATGTATATTACTTAAAGAAGCTCATTTCATAATTTTTAAAGTAAAATTAGTTTTGTAATTTGTTAATGTAAGATCTGCTATGCAACGGCGTCTGTTAAATGATTAAAAAAAACAAACAAAACATTGTTTTTGTTTTCTAAAATTCTCGTCTATTTTTTAGATTTTTAACATAGATCTATAGTCTATACTCATCAAGTTGAAGAAACCGCATAGAAAATGTATTGTTTTAATATTATCTCTAATTTTATCGAGTTCTTCATTAACGTTATAAACCGGAAACATTCATTTTATACACATATTACAGTAAGACAAAAGATGCTTTTATTTTTACTAATTAGAACAAGATTTTCAAATAAACTGGCTTAAACAAAATTTGAGCGCTGCACAAAATGTAAGTAAAACATATTTTGGTACTTATTTTTCTTTCAGTTAATTTTAAAACCACTTGCATACTATCGACATAAATTTTACTTACCTTTTGAAATTGAAATATATTTTATAATTGAATTTTGAATACTTTTAACTGATAAAAATAACCTGTTCTTTAAAACTAACTTTTTCTCACTTCGCAGGTTTTTAACACTAAAAAGCCTACTACTTTTTTTATTTTTGTAACAATACCAACCATATTTTCAGTAATTGTTCTTCATGCAAAAAATGAAACTTGTAAAATGTAAAAAAAATGTAAGAGTCACGTCACATTATCTTAACTACCCATCCCAGTCGTCGTCACTCGTCGTTAGAAAAATCTAAACTCAAACTACTCCCCAGTATTTCTACCCAGCATCTCACAGGGGTGGAGATAGGAGGGGGATATGTACAGTACCCCCAGAGCAATAGAAAAATATATATTATTGTTACAGAAAAAATATACTTTATACTTTCAACCCAACCCACCTTCCCTACCCGAGAAAAGTTTCGGAAAAAAAATTGCTTCCCATAGGAGTGTAACATTATAGACAGCGTCCTAGAATATAAAATACATAATTTATCCAGTTTGTAATCTTACAATTGCTATATTAAATTATCTTTTTAGGAAATAAAACAGCTAAAAGAAGGTAAAATAATTTAAATATTTTTTTATCTTGTAACAAACATTAAAATCATTATTTGTGTGCTAAAGGCTGGCTAGTAGTACATTCTTCTGAAATGTTCAAATGTTGAAATGTAAAACAAAAATTTAAGGTAATTAATTTTAAAACATTCCTATTGTTTAAATGCTTTTAAGTACTGCTACAGCAAATTCCTAAATGTCTTACATGTATTCTTTAACACAAACATCAGCTATAAACATACCCCACTCAAAACATACCCCACTCAAAACATACCCCACTCAAAACAAAGTTATCTATATGATGTGGCTGATCTTTCTGTGTTTTAGTAATATGTACATTGTTTTCTTGTATTGATTAGAATACGCAAGAAACACGAACACGCCAAAATAGCGTCCACATTATGTTATGTTTTATGTGCTTATGAAGGATGTGTGTGTTTGTGTGTGTGTGTGTGTGTGGGGGGGGGGGGTGTTGAGGTAGGGCTTCAATTCCTCTAGGCTACCATGATAATAAAAAAAATCTATATATCCCAGTCAGTTCTGTAGAGCTTTAAACCATTCATTTTAAAACATATATTGTTTTGTTTTTAAACTATTAGAACTGGCTCATCAAAAAGATGAACACAACAAAACCCTGATCTTGGAACAAAAAGTAAGACATTAAAAAATCAAATTGTATTATCATAATTGATTTAATTATACAAATCTTTGTTTGAAATATTAAATTCCCAGTAAAACGTATTTATATCTATTAAAAAGAAATTAAAAATGATAAGAAATTGTAAGTAAAAAAACAAACATTTCTTACTAAAATAAAATAAAATTTATAATTGCTTCGTTGATTTATAATTTAATTTAATCTTTGTATTTTACGCAACATTTACTAAATCGTTTATTTTATTTCAACATCATAGGAAAGACAAAAGTTTCTGCTTTAATAGTTGTTTTTTTTAATCTCGAGACCATTTTACGTGCTCATGTGTTCTAGGGAAATTAATATAGAAATTTAAGGGTTTTTAATTATAAATTATTAACTTAGGTATTTATTATACTATATTATACTCATGTGATTTTTAAAATTTATTTCCGTAAATCGCAATTTCCAATAGGCGACAAAGAAACTCGAAGAAGGTAAATATTACAAACACTTTCGGGAATTATAATATAACTATTTTGTTTTACATTAAACACAATGAAATAATACAAATAGAACTTAAAACCCAGTGTTTGAATATGGAAATAAACACACTGTTCTTTTCTGTTTAAAATATTTGTTATATTGAGCATAAACTCGTCGCTTTTTATATTTTTCACTAGAATTAAAGTTGATAAAACAAAGTTTGAACTCTACGTTTATGGTACGTAGGAGTCAGTTTTTAGTAACAGTACAAGTATACTAGCTTGTAAAATTAATTATTCAGGCATGATATATAGTATCAATTTATTACAGCTATAAAATAACGTACTTAAAGAGAAATAAAGATGTTTACTTAATAATTATCTTAGAATTTATGAGTTTCCTAAATTTACAATATTTGTTTAAGTGCGTAAATGTAATTTTAGAAAAGATGATAAAAATTAATTTCTCTTACGTAATATAAAAATGTATAAAACCATCTACAACTTTTCGATTTAAAATATCAAATCAGGAAAAAGCAAAGCTTGAAAAGGAAGTAAAAGAAATAAGAGATGGTAAGATGTTTTCACTACAAAACGATTTCACGATAACATTTAGCATTTTTATTTGATTAATGTAGCGGTTATTGTAGCGGCTTGTATTTTACAGTACTGTATACTTACTTATTTTTTTAATCTGTGTGCATGTGTGTATGAAAACATGCTTTAGATATGTCATACATGTTGTAATTGATTTTTTTTCATAGCGTTACAAAACGTATGTTATAGTTTTAATACTCGGATTTAAAAAAATCAAATTAGAAATGTTTTTTCTAGTTCGGACATGAAGATCATTAGAAATGACCATATGGCATCCACATTATGTTGTGTTTTATGTGTTTGTGTAGGATGTGTGTGTGTGTGTGTGGTGGGGTGGGGTGGGGGTGGGGGTGCGGGGTTGCGTTAGGGGGTAAGGCTTCAATTTCTGTAGGCTTCTATGATAATCAAAATTCTAAATGTCCCACTTAGTTCTGTTGAATTGTAAACAATTCCATTTAAAGCATATATTGTTTTTCTTTAAACTATTAGAACTGGCTCATCAAAAAGATTTTAACAACAAAAACCAGCTCCTAGAACGAAAAGTAAGACATTAAAATCAAATTGTATTAACATGATTGATTTAATTATACTAATTTAAAAAAAATTAAATATCTAGTAAAATATATTTATACGTATTAAAAATACATTAAATGTAATAAAAATGTAAATACTAAATACGTTTAATATAACTTCTTACTAAAACAATAAAAATAAAATGTATACTTGCTTTGTTGATGTATGATTTAATTGTTATATTTAACGCAACATTTACTTAATCGTTTATCTTATTTTAACATCATAGGAAAGACTAACGTTTCTGCTTTAATAGTTTTTTAAAATCTTTTGACAATTTAACGTGCTTATGTGTTCTAGGAAAAGATATATAACAATCCGAGGTTTTTTAAAATTATAGTTTATTAACCTAGTTATTTATTATACTATATTATACTTATGTGTATTTTTGTTTATTTATGTAAATTGCATATTTCCAATAGGCGACAAAGAAACTCGAAGAAGGTAAATATTTTAAAATTTATCTTTATTGACACTTTCGAGAAATGTAATATAGCTGAAATATTCATATCAAACACAACTAAAAAATACAAATAAAAATTAAAACCCATTGTTTGAATGTAGAAATAAACACACTGTTCTTTTCTGTTGAAAATATTTGTTATATTTAGCATAAAACTGTTGCTTTTTATTTTCTTCAATAGAATTAAAGTTGATGAAACAAAGTTTGAACTCTACGATTCTGGTACGGAGGAGTTAGTTTTTATTTAAAGTGCAAATAGAGAAGGTTGTAAAATGTGTTATTCAGGCATGATGTATAGCATCAATTATTACAGCTATAAAAAATCGTAGTTAAAAAGCAATATAATGTTAAAATACTTAATTATTTTAGAATTTTTGATTTTACTAAATTTATAATATTTGTTTATGCGCGTCAAACTAATCGTCAAATTAATTTCTCTAACGTTATATAAAAAATGTATAAAACCATCTACAACTTTTTCAATTTAAAATATTAAATCAGGAAAAAGCAAATTTGGAAAAAGAAGTAAAAGACATGAAAGATGGTAAGATATTTTCACTACAAATCGAATTGTTGACAACATTTTTGCATGTTCATGTATATAATGTATCAGGCTTGTATTTTACAGCGCTGTATGTTTACTTTATTTTTTTTTCGTAAAGGATATTTTTAGTCTGTGTGAAAACATTCAATATCTCTAACTTTCTTTTATTGATCTTATTCATAACATTTTAAAAAATTCCTTATAAATTTAATACACGGATTAAATAAAAAAAAATTAGGAATATAAAGTTACCCTATTGTAGATGAAGATCAATAGGACTGATGAAATGGAGAAAACAGTTGTATTCTTTGTTTTCGCGGAGAATGCATGTGTGTGTGGGGGAGGGGGGGGGGGGGAGGATACGGGGTGAGGCTTCGATTTTTCTGAGCTAACATGGTCACTAACAAAAAGTCTAAACACTCCTACCTAGCTATGTTGAATTTTAAACTATTCCACTCAAAAGCATACAGTAGATTTGTTTTGTTTTCAAAACTATTAGATCAAGCTAATCAAAAAGAACTAGTCAACAAACAACACATCATGGAACAAAAAGTAAGGCACTTTAAATCAAGATTAATTAACAAGATGGATTTAATTAGACAGAACCTTGTTTTAAATTTCAATTTCCAAGTAGATTTTTTTTCCATCTATTAAAAATGAAATTTAATTAAAAAATTGTAAAAAAAAAACAACAAAATTTTATATAATTTCTATATAAAATAAAATAGAATAAAATGTAAACGTGCTTTGGTGATTCGTAGTTTTATTTAATTTTATATTTCATATAACAACGTTAATCATTTATTTTATTCTAACATCATAGGAGAGACAAAAGCTTCAAGACGATTTCCTACAGTTAAAGCAAAGTAATTTATTACACTTTTATGTTCTTCATCAGGGTATTGTAGAAACTTATCAGCTGTATAGTTAGCAAACAGTAGAGAAGATTATATAATTATGTGATTTTCTCTTATTCAAGAATTATATACTTATGTATTTGAGATGATTCACGTGCTATATACTTAATAGGGTGTGTTTTCATGCCCAGCATTAAAGGACGGCTTGGTTGAATTGTAGAGTATACGACTGCAAACCCGAAAGTCTCGAGTTCGAATCCAAGTCAGTACTACGTCCCTTAGTCCACCCAGCTCTGATATGTTCCTGGCTTACGTAGGGGCTGGTGGTCATAGTGCTGATCACACGATCCCTTCATATACTGAGGTCAAGATACATATCAACTCTACTTCATCTGCCCAATAGTTAATTAGGTCTGAAAGGGGTCATTTACTTCTTTTAATTCACGTTACTTCAATTACACAATGGAACAAAATGATAAACACAATCCTCATTGTTTTTTGACTGAATTTTTTATCTTAGGGATCATCCATACATTACGTCACACCTTTCTGGCGATTTTTACCTACTCTCTCCCCTCCATCACACAACGTCACAAAAGCCAGACCCCCCCCATCTAAAATGACGTCACACCCCAACCTACAACCCCCTTATATATTTGAACTTTTTAAAAATGCTAAAGTTTGACGTCATACTATCTTAACTACATCCCTTGCCACTCATCACCGATCGTCACAAAATTACCGACCTCCCCCTCCACCTACGAGTGTGATGTCATTTATGGACGACCCCATAAAGTGTACCATTTCTAGCATTGTTAGATTAAGTACCGGAATTTTATTCCGTTACGGTCAATGTCTTAAAGCTCCATGTTTTCCTTATAATTCTTTCAGCTGCCTTATGTCTAGGAATATTTGGGACTTTGGCAGGTATTGGAGTGATACTTGCAACCATGGCATTCGTAGTAGTACGGTTGGTGAAGACAGGTAATCACACATTTTTCTGAATAGTAATTTTCATCTAGTGGAAAATTAAAATATAATTTTTTATTATTGCAAGCTTTTATTTAACTTGCTTCCTCTGTTTGGCGTTGTGAGTTGAAACTGGCGAGCGAAATTTTGCGCATTTCTAACCAGCCAATTTCATCAAAACTTGGCACGTTGGTCAAAACACAATGACAATGCAATTTGACATCCAATTTGACAATGGGATGCTTATTAAATTTTTAAAGAATTAATTAATATTTCTTACATTAAGTAATATTTAACGCGCTATTATATGCCTACACACATTTTTAATTCTTAAATTCTAGAAACGCTATTCAATTTAATAATATAACTACCCACACTTTTATTTTTAGTTATTTAAGATTTTTTTTTCATATATTTAAAGAAAAGAACTTATTTTCTCCTATGCAGTACATAATTATATAAAAACTTATTGAACATTTATTTAATTTTTTTTTATATTTACAATTTCACGAGCTTTTGTTTTTGTGTGTTTTTTTTCACATCGCACTGCTGACAAAATATTTATACCAAGTTTGTAAGGGTAGACTTGCAAGGAAAATAAACACACATCACTATCTATCAAACTTTTATTCAGAATGTTTAGATGTTGTTTAAAAACTAGAAGTCATATTTGGAAGAAGAAACAATCACGTTTTTTTTTAAAATTTCAGATTGGTTCAGATATTTGTTCCCAGAACAGTTCCGTCCTGCTTCTAAATCGAAAAATTATCAGTATAAAACTTGCGCGACTAACGGAGAAGCATCTAACGAATTAGTGGCTCAGAGCGAAAGTCATGAACAATGTGTAAAAACAACATACTTTGATGAGTTTGTAAAGTCTACCATAACACAATGTGTCCAGAATAGAGATTTAGAGCTATATGTAAAAATGAACAAACTGAATGAAGACTATCTACCTAAGAAAGATATAGAGGAACGCTTTATAGCTAAGAAAGATCTACAGGAAAGCTATCTAGATAAGACATTTATAAAGGAACACTATCTAGATAAGGAAGAATTAGAGGGCAAGTTTGGCAAAAAAGACAATCCAAAAAAAGAAAAGAAAGTTCGGTGTTGCACCAATACTCCGGAAGGTAAAATTTTAAAAAGTTGACCAGTTAACCTGTCATTACAAATTAATAATTTGGATTTTATATGTTCTCTCTCTATGTTCTGATCTATTCTGGCGGCTTCATTAAGCATCTCAATAAAATAATATATAAATATAATATAATAATAATAATAATAAATAGGTGAATAATAATTATTTGCAAATTAAAATCACAAGTATATGAATGCAAAAGACATTTGTTTTGCAACAGAAAACGCCGGTATCTCATTATATGTAGTTTTCTGTATGTTACAGAGGCCGAAAATGACGTTCACGTTCACTTGGTTGAAGGTAATTATTTCTAATTGTAACAGATAGCTATTTAGGGAAGAAATTATTTGGATTTAAAAATAAAAAAATAGTATTTTTCTATCTTATTTTGTCAACTCTCTCTTATATCGATTGTTCAACAACCCAAAATGAACTTTGCTCAGAAAATTGGAGGGTAACACAAAAAAACAACAAACACCCCCTAGAGCTGTTTCATAAACACGTTTTTGTGTTAGATTGTGAAGGTATAAAGGTAATATAATATTCCCAATCTACGCCTATGCGAGTTATGCAGACTAGTGCATGCGGAGTACGAAATAAAACAATGATAAGAAGTGGTGGATAGGTCATACTTCAAGAAAGACAGTTGAATGACACCACTAGACAGACTTTTGGAGGTCGGCGTAGTCGGGTCGGATAAGCTCCATGTTGCTGAATCGAAAATTCCCGATTTCACTCCCCCGGAAGGATGAGGCTCGACAGCAGGGGACAGCCACTCTTCTATGAGAGACAACTCTAAAAACAACTGCTGCCTTGTAGTTTCTTCTTGGTTGGACAAAAACTTTGGAAGCAAATCCAAAAAGAAAAGCAGGCTGAGATCGGAGTCAACTGGCTACATGACACATAAAAGGTTGACACGAAATACTTAATTGTGTTGGAAGGAGTCTCTTCATACAATAAAATAAAGAAGGAAGAAGAAGAAGATAGACGTTGAGGTATGACCCACAGGAAAAGCGCAAGATAAAAAAAAAATAATGAAGTTTCTACTAGGAAAAGATGTTTCGGCAGAAAATACGAAACTCAATAGTTGTGCGCATGCGTAGTGACCTTATTAGCTGCGCTAGGGTTAGGGTTAGTTAGGGTTAGGGTTCTGCGGTTTGTTTGTAAACACGAATGTGCAGTAGCATCGAAAACATCGCCGCGAATGAAGGCGGTAGTTTCTCTCCATTGCGCTTGCGTATCTTTTCCCCGACTAGAATCGGCCATCAAAAAAATTCACGGGGGTGAAATGATTCGGTAGTCAAGGCCTAAGTTTAAAAAAAACAACCTAGCACAATTTTGTTTTTCGTATCTGAAATGTCGTCACGGCCCTGTACTTCTTAGTGAGCTGAAACGATTAATGATAATAAGAAAACGAGTGAGTTAAATAAGTAGAAAACTGTCTGGGTTTTGCAGACTCCACCATTGTGTGATAGTCAGATGTCTTTATTAAAATTGATATAGTTTGTACGAGCGTGATATGTATATCAGATGTATACATTTTTAAAATATAATTTTACCATTGTTTTCATTTGAACAACTAATCCTTCACAGATTGTTCAAATACGCTTAATGATTTAAAGCTACGGTTTGATGAGTTTGAGAAAGGTAGGAATTTTACATATTGCACTTGATATTTTCGGAGGTGGGGGGCGGACATTGGTAAAAGTATATGTTTTCTATAGAAATTCCATTTCGCTGGGGGGGGGGGGGGTAGAATTTCTCCCCCGAAGAAATGCCGGGAACAAAGGCTGTTGAGTATGTGTCTGTGCGAGTTCGTGTATGTGTAAGTTGGAAAACCCTAAAATATTTAACCAACATAGAAATTAGTGGATGTTACACTTTGTTTCATAGGACCATTAAATAACGATTTAAAGTCTGTGGTTATTCATGATATAAAGTAATAACTAAGTGATTAGCGCGAACCCATTGTAATACGCGAACGTGATTACGTTTTGTCTGTACCTACCACCCTCCCCTCTCCCCACTGACATACGTATCTGTCCCCACCCTCCATGACCCTTGACCTCCTCTGTGAAACTCAATACCATCTTTTATTTTATATTTGTCTTATAATATGTTGTTTTGATACATCGATTTTTAACTCTTATCTACATTAGAATTTAATTTTCTACATGCCATCATGTCTGTTTCTTTTAATTTTTTTATTTACAAGATATTAAACACCAATTGAACATAATCAAAGCAAGTAAGTAATGAACTTTTTTATCGCAACGTGTGCGTTCTTATGTTACTAAATAATTTAGCTTCTTTATCTTCAAAAAATGAAATTTAAGATTTTATTTGTTTCAATAAATATAAAACATTAATTAATTAAAATGCATTTTCTCAGAGCTGAAAGTTGACGATGGTAATCATATGATCACAGGTAAGTTTTGACTACTTTATCAACTTGCTCGTCTAAATACTCTACGTGTTGTAAAAGTAATTAGTAAAATATATTCACATCTTTTCGGTATTTAAAATTTTACCTACAAGCCCTGCCTAGCTAATCGTAAAATTAACGTTTTAAGTCTCTATTATTATTTTAAATTAATAAAATCATACCCACAGTTTTGTTCTACATACATATTTTTACTTAATAAATCTCAACTTCTAATTTCTTTCACCAATCTCCGTTATTATCTCACCCTTAGGGGTCGGCGTGGTCGAGTCGGTAAAGCTCATGGTTGCTAAACCGAAAAGTCTCGAACCCTCGGGCAGATGAGGCTCGTTAGCTGGGGACAGCGAATATTCTAGGAGAGACAACTCCAAAATTAAAAAAAATTAAAACAACTGCTGCCTTGTAGTTTGTTCTTGGTTGGACAAAGGCTATGGAAGCAAATCAAAAAAGAAAAGCAGGCTGAAATCGGAGTCAATGGCCTCAATGGCGCATAACCAGCTGACACGTAACGCTTAATTGTGTTGGAGGCGTGGTCGAGTCGGCAAAAAGCTCATGGTTGATAAATTCGAACAGTTTCGCGTTCAAACCCACTGGCAGATAAATCTCGATCCCCTTCAACACTAATAATTAAGAACGAAGAAGAAGAAGATATCACCCTTATTTTTTGATAAACTAACCACGTAGGCATCCAAGTAACCCAACCCAAGTATGCGATTGGTAGGCTTTGGTCAGATTTGTATGTTTTATAATCTAGTTCTGAACCATGTAAGGTTACGTAAAATAAAATGAATTTCGAAGCTAACATCGAGTGTCCGTAATGAACAATCTAGTTCACGCATATGTAGATTTGGGTTATGAACAAGTATCTATACTTTTTTCTCCCTCATTTTATTAGTCTAAAATGAACTCAATAGTAAATGATGTAAACCACAGTACCACAACTACGTTGGTTATACTTAAAAAAAGTATCGGTATCTCTTTCAGGAGCAATCCAGCAGCTTTTTTTGAACCACCCACCCAATAGTCCAAAGATTGTCGAAAATGAGGAGATAGATTTTTTTAACAAGAGTGGGACTGACCAAGAGACGGAATGTCTAATGTCAGAAGCCGCCAGCCCAAAGGCAGTCATTTTACGCCAGTCCAAATTGAATTAGCCACAGATCGAAACGTTAAGTGAAGCTGTGGGGAGAGATCTGTATTATACTAAAAATAGACACAATGTTTATATATTTATATTTTGTATATTTATATTTATTAGTCAGTTTTAAGAGGTCAAAAAAACCGCAATAGGTGTAGAATTTTGAAAAAAGTACGTATGTAAAAAAAATTATTCTGTTTTAAGTAAATGCACAAATAAAAATTTCTTTAAAGACGTTGAAAACAATTCAGAAAAATTGTCCTATTTAGAAACGCAATCCTTCCATGGAAGAATTATGACTAAACTCTGAGTAGCGCTTGAAGTTCTTTGTTTCAAAACAAAATTTGCCGTCGAATGTGCCAGTTGAACAGTGAAGTGTTTTAATGCATTATTATCTTTCGTTTATAACGTTATTGATTTATTGGGCTTAGCGGGATCTTGTTTTGTGCAGTGCAGTGCTGCCGACGAACCGTTTCCGAACTGGAAACTGGGTCGCCTAGTAATATTTAAAAATTAGCATGGTGGAGATTGAGAGGGGCGTTAAATGAAGTTAAGTGATTAACGATGCTAGATAGATAGAACAGTTTTGTTATAACAAATCGGGATCAAATGATAATGTTACGTTATGTCTTGTGATTAAGCGATACTTTCGATTTTTCATATTACAATTGTAACTCATGAAAACTGTAACGTTTACTTAAGCAATTGTTTGTCCAGAAACTTTTTTTATTTGTGAATTTGATGTGATATATTATTTTTATACACTTTTTGAAATAGTATATATCTTGTTAATTTATTCCGTATATTGTAATATACTGTATTATTAGCTTTACGCTGAACTATTTTAAGACTTGCACGTAATTATTTTTGTTCTGAGTTGTATTTGATTTTTTTATCCAACATAGAAGTGTGTTATAATTCTAATATTGTAGGGCATACACGTTTCTAAAGAGCGGGACGAGGGGCGGACTTGTAAGAGACCATATTTTAATTTTATTTTGAATGTATTTTGAGAGTTTGTGGGACGTTTGTACCAATGGATGTTAGATGAACGCGAGTCAAGGGTTGGTTGCAAGTAGTGTTTAATCTGGTAGAAAAGAGGGAAATATAGAAAGTGCAAAGTGCCATATGAGGTCAACACCTAGGCCATTCTTAATCTTATGCGATACATAGAATACCCTTGTGCTACTCTTAAATGTTTTTTATGCCTTGCTTCTATTATCAAATCATGAATCTTAACTGTATGTGTAAATACATTATACAATCCGTTTACACATTTTAATATATGGACATCCACAAAAACTTACATTATTATTTCTATGTAAATAAAATACTTTGTTATGTAATTGCCCTACCTTGAGTATTATATATATGTTACATTCAGATCCTTACATAAACAAACAGTTTGGATAAGACTCATTGTTACAAAACTTTGTGATCGGTGATTTACAACTGTTACATATAAATTAAAAGCGTTTGTCTTAAAATTATATCGAAAAAACTTCTGGAACAACAAACGCTTTTATCTTTTATAATACAGCCTAAGAAAATTTATTTTATTTCTCTTTTAAAAAAAATAATGTATGTTTTTTTTATGGTAAAAGAAATTGTATTTTATTTTTCTTATTTAAAAAATTATTTTATTTTTCTTATTTTAAAAAAAAATGTTTCTATTATCTTATTTAAGAAAAATTGTATTTCTATTTTATTATTAAAAAAAAAGAAAAATTCTTAAATTTCTACTTCCAGCACCGCTGTTATGAATGGGAAAGCACCCATTTTTATTTTGCGGCAATAAGTTTTACATGAGTTATGTCTCTTGGTAAATAATTTGTTACTAGCGTATATAACACGGGGTAAAGTGTTGTAAAAATGCAAAACATCGATTTGATATTTTAACAAATCTCGACGTTTTACATACACCCCACTGAGTCGGAAAAAAATGTAGTTTTTGAAATTTGTCACGTTCGTCTGTGTGTGTTCGTCTGTCTTTAACACGGTAACTTAAGTGCCGTTTCAGTTAAGCTTATCTGGCATTGACATGTGAATCTCGGTCACGCCAATCAAAGCCAATATATAAATGACTATCTGTTCTTTTAGCACCGATGACACTGTACCTGTTAGCACCCAATGTCAAAGCACCTGTTAGCATACAATGTCACTGTACCTGTTAGCACCCAATGACACTCCATATCTGTTAGCACCCAATTACATCATACCTGTTTCCACCCAATGACACTGTACCTGTTAGCACCAAATGCCTCTGTAACTGTTAGCACCCAACTACACCGTACCTGTTAGCACCCAATGTCACAGCACCTGTTAGCACCAAACAACACGCTGTGGCTTTTAGACCTACCGACACTCCAGCCAAAATCTTACCTCACCTGTCAGACATCAGAGTGTCAATAGCATACCTGGCTGTAATCTGACGTAAACATGGGTCACCATGACATTTGACTTGATTATATTTATTTATATCAATGTATTTGATATATGTTGAAAAAACAACTTACAATGCCTTATTTTTTAAAACTATTTTTCAATAATTAAAGCTTACTTTGAATTTGATTTTATCTTTTTTTTTCAAATATTAATAAACTTATCAGGGTAACATAATCGTAATTTTTGTATGTATATGGTCATAAAAAGGTAGTAGTGTCAGATACACATGGGTCTAGGGCTTAACCTCTCCCCCCCCCTTCACATCTTGTGGATTACCATCACCCCGTCACATTGTCGCTACAGCTACAGAACATTACTCACTGTCATTTACCCTTCCCGTCATCAAAGGAGTCTAGAATATAGCCCACTACAAATTACTCCAACCCGTACATTGACATACGAATAGGTTTTATGCCGCACTGTAAATTATCACCATCTCTGACCAGCGCCGTAAAGTTGTAAAAGTGCAAATAAAATCTGCCCAGCACCCATATGATCTGCCGAGCGCTCAACAAAGGTGTCATAAGCCCCCATGTAATCTGCCCAGCACCCATTTAATATGTCCAGTGCCCTTATAATCTGCTCAGAGCTCTGAAAATTTGATTAGATTCCCCTGAAAATCTGCCCAACACCCTTATAATCTGCCCATCGCCCTACACACGTGTCATAAGCGCCCATATAATCTGCCCAGCACCCTTTTGATATGCCCAGTGCCCAGAAAAAAATATACACGTGTCAATAAACTCGAACCAAAACCAAGTCTCAGAACTCTCCTTAGCCTGACCTCCTCGACTTTGCAGAAGTTATTTTTTACCTAACGTTTCTGCTGAGATAATTCCCTCACCGTCACGCCTGAATTCCCACACGTCATACTCTCTTGATGCCCCCCCCCCGACCCCCCCCCCCCCCCAAAAAAAAACCGAGAGGAAATGAAAACCTCCAGGAGATTTTTATCATTATTTAATTGTCGTTAAATGAGTTATCAAACAGCTACAAAATATGTTTTACACTCCATGTGTGTGTGTGTGTGTGTCTGTATATCTTGGTTGGGTGATCGTAAACCCGACTGTTGAGATAAGAGAGTGTGTGTGTGAGAGAGAGAGAAAGAAAGAGACAGCAAGATAAGAGAGAGAGAGAGAGAGAGCGATGGAGAATGGGAGAGAGAGGAAAGAGAGAGGGAGATAGAGAGAGAGGTAGAGTGAGAGAGAGCGAGGTAGAGTGAGAGAGCGAGAGTGAGATAGTCGTAGAGGAAGAGAGAGAGAGGGAGAGAGGGGAGGCGTAATTTTGTGACGGTGTGTTTTGAGGGGGACTTGTGTTCAGATGGCGTGACGTCGTCACACTTTTGCATTTAAAAAAAATGCTGTTAAAAAATGAATTGTAGAATTTATCTCGCGTTTTGGAAAACCTTTTTTTGTTGTAGTAAATTTAGAAAGAAATCAATGGTTAAAATGGGGGGGGGGGGGGGGGGGTTGTAGGCTGAGGTGTGACGTCATGTTAGCGGGTAGGGGCTTTGGCTTTTTGTGACGACGTGTGACGGAGAAGTGCCGAAATAATTTTAAAAAGCGTGACGTCATTTAAGGATGACCCATCAACTGCAACCCCTAATTCTAATTCTAACGTAACAAACACTGCTTCAGAGTTACCCCAACTCTAACCCTAACAAAGAATCCTCTTTAGACCAAGCGATCCATTTTGGACAGATGAAGTAGAGTTGATATGTTTCTTGACCTCGGCATATGAAGGGATTATGTGCCCAAAAGATCTCTTAGTTCTTTAGAGAATTCTTTACTTTAACCCTAACAAGAGATATTGTGCTTCATAAAACCTAGTACTAGCTACCCTCTGTTTTTTTAAAAAAAAAAAAACTTAATTATATCAATAAACAATTGTTTCTTTTACACTTATTCTAACTCTAACATTAGCTGATAAATACTGCAAAACCCTATCAGCTGCACAGAGGCGTAGCGACCTACTCTGGCGCCCGGGGAGAACAATCAATTTTCGCACCTTTCCTCCCATTTTTATTTTAGTTATTCCTGTCTGTGAAAAAGCCCCCCCCCCCCCCCAGTTTAAAAGGTTTGTAGCGCTTCTGACCAGTTACTATCCGTTAACATTTTCTACTTCGGTGTCCCAAATTGAAATAGAAAACAAATAAATCAACCTATCCCGCACCTTATCCTCACCCTATCCCACACCCTATCCCCACCCTATACCCCACCCTATCCCCCACAATACCCCCCACCTATTACATCATATTTAAAAATATAATATCCCACCAAGATTATGAACCAGCGAGGTCTGACATTGTATTACACGGAAGTCCCGTGTGTATACCTGATACGTCATAACTTAGGACAGGTGCACTAACGCCTAACCAGTGCAAAAAGTTTGAAGTAAAACATTTACAAAAGCTGACGTTTGAAAACTGATTCTGTTTTGTTATTAAGTTCGGTCTTACGAAATCTATATTTGAAAGTATTTGAAAAAAAAAACCACTGGACTATTTTAAAGTGATAATGAAAATCAACGCAGTTTTTCTATATTTGTCAATAACTGAATAAAATAATTAAA